TTTTTTTTTTTTTTTTTTTTTGCTTAAAATAAAACAGTACGAGTATTGTTGAAACCCTTCTCGGGGCGCCTGGGTGGCTCAGTTGGTTAAGCATCTGCCTTTGGCTCAGGTTATGATCTCAGGGTCTTGGGATCCAGCCCTGCATTGGGCTCCCTGCTTGCTGGGGAGTCTGCTTCTCCCTCTCCCCACCCCCTGCTTGTGCTCTCTTTCGTGCTCTCGCTATTTCCCTCAAAAAAAAACAAAACAAAAAACCCTTCTCAGTCCAGCTCCCTGACCCGCTTTCCTTTTTCCCTTTCTAAGAAAACCATTATCCCGAAGTTAATGTATAATCTTTTTTCTATTTTTATTTTATTTTGTTTTATTATTTTTTTAGTGGGGGGAGGGGCAGAGGGAGAAGGACGCAGGGCTCGATCTCATGACCCTGAGATCATGACCAGAGCCGAAATCAAGAGTCGGATGCTTAACTGACTGAGCCACCCGGCTGCCCCTCTTTTTTCTATGTTTAGTTTTTCTATTACACGTGTTTACAGCTACAAAGGATGTATGTATATGCGCGCACCACACTGTGTCATTCTGCAGCTGGATTTTCACTCATCCTGATGCCCGTGTGCTCTGGGTCACTTACTTAACCACAGCATTGAATTCTGTTCTGCAGCTACGCTGCTGGACTGCACGGCCCCAGGGCCCCGTGGCCTGCAGAATGACTGCCTTGATTGATTTATCCACCCTGTAACAGACCTGTTATGTGAACTCCGATATAATGTTTTAGTAGTGCTTCGGTGAGCATCCTTGGATGAATCTCCATGAAAACTCAGAATCTTTAGTGGAATTTCCTTAATTTGATAGATTAATTTGTGGATAGTTGACTTTGTTATAACTTTTTCCTCCCATGAACACAGTATATCTATTTAAGTCTTTCAGTAGTAGATTTTTCAGTCTTGTAAATTTTTTGTTCAATATACTACTAGGTACTTGGATTTTGTTGCTGTGAAAAGCATATTACTTTTTTTGGTTCAACCCTGCTGAACTTACTTCTAGTAGCTGGTTAGTAGTGTTTTTTTTTGTAGATAATCACATATCTATAAGAATAACAGTTTGTCTTTTCCTTTTTCATCTTTATACCTCTTCATTTTTGTCTTACGTATTGGGTAGGCTTTTTAGTATAATATGAAATTGTAGGAATAAGAAGCTGTCTTGTTCCTGACTCAAATAGGAATGCTTCTAAAATTTTACCAATACTTTTATTTGCTGTAGTCTCCATATATTTTCATATGCTTTTTACGATATTAAGAAAGTTCCCTCTGTGTGAATTTGCTAAGGACTTTTAGCATGAATTAATGCTTTTGTTGCATCTCTTAAAATGTTTTTTTGCTGTTCTGTAATCTGTTATAGGATAGATTACATTGATTTTTTTCACTGTCCTTGCATTCTGGATCATTTCCTACTTGGTAATGATTTTTTTATTACAGAGGCTGTTGTATTTGAATTAGTGATACTTTATTTAGGATTTTTGTATCTATATCTCATACTTTTTCACTCATCTTGGCTGCTTTGACATCAAGGTTGTAGTACCTCATGAAATGAATTGGATGGCCTTCCCTCTTTCCTGTCTCCTAAAACAGTCCGTATAACATAGGGATTCTGTGTTCCTTTAAGTTTGGTAAAACTTGGCTATAAAATCGGGGCACCTGGGTGGCTCAGTCGGTTGGGTGTCTGCCTTCAGCTCAGGTCATGATCCCGGGGTCCTGGGATCGAGCCCCGCATCGGGCTCCCTGCTCAGCGGGAAGCCTGCTTCTCCCTCTCCCACTCCCCCTGCTTGTATTCCTGCTCTCGCTATCTCTCTCTCTGTCAAATAAATAAATAAAATCTTAAAAAACAAAAACAAAAAAAACTTGGCTATAAAATCATCTGTTCCTGGTATCTATTTTGGAGGCAGGCTCTTGACAACTGATTCAGTTTCTTGAATGTTTATTGGTTTAATCAGGTTTTTTATTTCTCCTTGAGTTAGTTGTATGTGTCTAGAAAACCATGTGTTTCATCTAAATTTTCAATTTACTGACATAGCATTGTCAGTAAATCCTATATATATATTTTAAGTAGGCTCCATGCCCGATTTGGGGCTTGAATTCACAACCCTGAGATTAAGACCTGAGCTGAGATCAAGAGTCGGATGTTTAACTGACTGGGCAACCCGGCGCCCCTCTTTTCTTTTTTTTTTTTTTTTGTAATTCCTGCTAGTGTTAATTTTGCCCTTTCTTTGTGACTCTTTCTTGTTAAAGATTTGTCTGTTGTATTAATTTTATCACATAACTACTCTTTGGTATTACCATACCTGCTGATTTATTTTTTATCTTCTATTTCATTGCTTTTATTTATTTTTTTTTTATTTTTTAATTTTATTTTTTTTAAGATCTTATTTATTTGACAGAGACACAGGAAGAGAGGGAACACAAGCAGGGGGAGTGGGAGAGGGAGAAGCAGGCTTCCCGTGGAGCGGGGAGCCTGATGCGGGGCTTGATCCCAGGACCCTGGGATCATGACCTGAACCAAAGGCAGTCGCTTCACGACTGAGCCACCCAGGTGCCCCCTTTTTATAGGTTCTTAAACTGGTTGTTTAACTCAGTGTTTTATAATCTTTCTTGTCTTTTAATACAGGTATATCTTAATAAATTCTACCTCTGTTACTTTAATGCCTTCCAAAAGTTTCAGTATATAGTTCTTAGATTGTCATTTAGTTATAAAATTTTATTACTTGTGTTATGATTTTCGTATAATTTTTAGTTGTAAATGAACTGAAAAATTTTCCAAACATATAGGTGTTTGTCCCTGAGCTTTTATTGTTGATTTCTAGTTATATTATTTTCAAAGAATATGATTAGCTTTTTATGAATTTTTATTAAATTGAGACTTTGTCATAGACTATATACATGTTCAGCATTTGTAAACATTCCCTGAATATTCTTTAATTTGGAGGTGTAGGGTCTGTCTGTTACATTGTACTTGTTCTTGAGTTTCCTGTATCCTGACCAGTTTTCTGTCACTTTGGTTTATCAGTTTATTATGGATGTTGTTGTGGTTTTGTCATTTTCTCCTTGTAATTCTGTCAGATTTGTGTTTATGTATTTTGAAGCCTATTTTATCAGTTGTATACAAGTTTATGATTGTTAAAGCCTTCAAAATATAGCCTTCTTTTTGGATATTTTTTCATTCATTATTATGTAATGTCTTTATTAGGCTTTATTTATTTATCAGGCTGTTAATGCCAGCTTTTTTTCCTTTTTTTCTTTTTGGTATTTGCATGGTATGGCTTCCTCATTCGTTGACATTTATTTCTAGGCTTTAAAAAATTGTTTTTGGGGGTGCCTGGGTGGCTCAGTTAGTGAAGAGTCTGCCTTCAGCTCAGTTCATGATCTCAGGGTCCTGGGATTGAGTCCCATGTCAGGATCCCTGCTCAGTGGGGAGTCTGTCTTCCCACCCATCCCACACCCCACCTCCCCACCCCTGCTTGTTCTCTCTCCTCCCCCTACTCATGCTCTCTCTCGCATGCTCTCTTTCTCAAATAAATAAATAAAATCTTTTAAAAAATTGTTTTTGTCATAGTCAAATAAGGATGTAGATTAAAGTGTCAGCTCTATAAAGTTTATTAGGAGAAACAGCCATTCCCCTGCCCCTCCCTGCCACTTCTTTTTCTCCAGAGGCAAGCATTTTCAACTCTTTTTTTTAGGATTTTATTTATTTATTTGACAGAGAGATAACACAAGTAGGCAGAGTGGCAGGCAGAGTTAGAGGGAGAAGCAGTCTTTCCACTGAGCAGGGAGCCGGATGTGGGGCTCGATCCCAGGACCCCAGGATCATGATCTGAGCCGAAGGCAGCTGCTTAACCAACTGAGCCACCCAGGCGCCCCACATTTTCAACTCTTAACTGATTTTTTATATTTATCTCTATATTTCTTCTTTTCTTTCTTTTTTTTTTTTTTTTGGACAGCTTATTCAGCACTCACATTTGGTAGGTAGTTTTGTGGGGTATAGAAATCTGGGTTGGAAATACTTTTCCTCGAATTTTTTAAAGTATTGCTCCATTGATGTCTAGCTTCTAGGGTTGATGTTGAGATATTATGTTTCTGATTCTTTGCATGTGACCTGTGTTTTACTCTCTGGAGACTTGCAGTATCTTTGATGTTGTTCCCTGTGTTCTGAAATTTTACAGCTGTGTATTTTGGTGTGCGTCTAATTTCATTTCTTGGCTAGGCAGAAGGTGGGCCTTTTAATCTGGAGATTCATGTCCTTCAGTACTAAAATTTTCTCAGATATTTTAAAATCTTTTGTTAATGAAAAATTTAAGACAGAAAATAGAATAGTATTTATGTGGCACTCACATGCCCCTGCCCCCCCACCACTCTGGGTTGTTTGGAAGCAAACCCCAGGCCCAGATGATATCAGTAGCTTGTTTCATGCAGGTCTCCTTTCCCGTGTGGCTTCTTCCTGCAGCTCCCACTTCCCAGACAGTGGATCGCCAGGATTGTCTTCCGACTTGTTCTCTGTCACATTTTGCATATCTGGTTTTTTGGGTGTTATTTTCTCCTCTTTCAGGGGGATTTCTTCCAGTTTATCTGCCCGACCCTTCTGTCACTGTCTTAGCTCTCTGAGGATGAGTGGTGTCTGAAGTGTTCTTTTCTGTGGATTGCTCCATTTCCTCAGATTTGCTCTTTCTTTTTCTTTGCATTGGTTTCTAATCCTGAAGCTCATGGTTTTCCAGTCCCCGGGTGCATGGTGTGCTCCCCTCTGCGGGCCGTCCTCTGCCTCGCTGTGGCCAGTAGTGGGACTCCCGCCCTGGGGCCCATCCATCTCCTTCCTTTCCCTGGCCATCGTTTGGGTTTGTAGCACCGTGGGGCGGGCTGCCCTCCTGCCTCACTGCTCATTTTGAGACTTTGTGTCCTGTAGGCCACGCGACTGCACGTGTCCCATACCTGGGCTGCGACTCGGTGGTTCCTGTTCCTCTGAACGTCCTTATCACAGGACTTTGTTCTATAATTCTGTGTATTTTTAATGACATAAATTGGGTGTTTTTCTCAGTATTACTCATTAAAAGTAGTTATAAGGTCATTAAAAAATTTTGGAAATTACTCAAACTTTAATGAGAGAAGTAAAAATCATTTATAATCTCACTATCCTAAGGCAACCACATTGGCAGATAGTTGTATATGACAAGTTATGAACAGTAAGGACCATTTGAGTGCTCGCTTCGGCAGCACATATACTAAAAAAAAAAAAAAAAAAAATTGGAACGAGTATGGACCATTTGATTCATGTAATGGTTTTTTTTTTTTTTTCTAAAAACAGGGTCATACTATAAGGTATGGATAATAGACTATATCATGTATTTTTGTTTTATGATAGTTTTTGGAATTGTGAGCTTGAGAACTAATTTGAGTCACAACTGACTTGGTTTTCATGTTTTCTCCTGACCCAGGGCAGATAAAATTCCCCCGTCTCTGTATTCCACCTACTGCCAAGCCTGCTCCACTGCGGAAGAGAAGAAACCAGAACGTAAGGTTAATGGGTCTGTCTGTCCCCAGGACGGGTACCCTTCTGCCTCCCTGGTCAGGCTCGGTCTGGCTCAGTCAGGACGGACCCCCCAACCCAGAGGCCCTGGAAAGGTACCTGATAGGGCATCTCCCTGACGTGCTGCCCGAGGCTGTGATGTGCCTCTGCTTGCCTGTCCTGATTCGGGCGACCTGTCAGACGAGGCTGCCAGGCTTGAGGCCTGCGGTGTTGATTCTGAAGTGGGGTGTCATGGGGGGTCTGCTCCGTGGGACGGTTGAGTTCGTCTGTAGTGGGTTGGGGATTGCTCAGCTCATGGGGATCAGTGCTATAGACCTAGGTCTGACCTGCGACAGTGTGCGTGAGACAGCAGTGCTTAGAGCCCCTGGGCAGCCTTGCTGGCATGTTCCCACCTATCCCATTGTCTCTGCCAACAGGGCGGTGGTGGGAGGCCCATCCGGAGGAGGGCCTGGTTCCTTAGCAGTGTCACGTGGTTTCAGTCCTTGGACCTTTCCAGGGCCAGCTGGGCTGAATGAGGCTGTGTTTTCTAGTTGTATCTCCCAAAACCCTTCCTTTTTTACATGCTTGGATGATTTCTCACAGCCACGGAGACTGAGAAAACTTGGGTGGGCAAAGAATGAAGGTCCCAGGTCTCACACTTGTTTTTACCATTATTGAAACAACTCACCTCCGTGATGGGGATGCCAGGGAGGCTGTAGGACTGTGTCCAGTATGTGAGAGGCATGCTCCTTCCTACCCAGCCCCCTGGCCCTGCCCTGGGGGCCTTGAGAATGTTTTCTGTACTTTATCTGGCAGAGCTTATAAAAGAAGCCTTACAATTTCTAGTTTTATCATGGTGTCTACCTTGTAAGGCTCACTGCACATACCCATTTCTTCTCCAGTGGCCCCAGAACTTGAACTTGTTTTGCTTTTAAAGCATGTAGTGTACCTTTTTTTTTTTTTTTTAAGATTTTATTTATTTATTTGAGAGAAAGCACAAGAGCATGAGCAGGGGGAGGGGCAGAGGCAGAGGGAGAAGCAGGCTCCCCGCTGAGCAGGGAGCCCGATGTGGGGCTCGATCCCAGGACCCTCGGGTCATGGCGCTTAACCGACTGAGCCACCCAGGCCCCTTTGCCTTCCTTTTTATAATGAAAATGGTATTTTGGGCATGCCTGGCTGGCTCAGTCAGGGGAGCATGCGAATCTTGATCTCAGGATTGTGAGTTCCAACTCCAAGTTGGGTATAGAGCTTAACATTAAAAAAGGAAAGAGAAAGAAAGAAAAATTGTGTTTGAAGAAAATTTTTTTTTAAGAGAGCGCGAGCACATGTGCAAACAGGGAGGGGCAGAGGGAGAGAAA